TGGTGAGGGGCGCGTGTGCGCTCCCGGAGCCACTGCAGCATCTCTGCATCAAGATCTGCTCCTCCCTCTCCCAGCCTCAGCTCACTGGCTGGTTCCGTCCTCAGCCAACTCGGGCCCTGGAGATGGCTTCCGCGGCCCCTCCCGCCCCTCCCGTGTCCCCACCCTCCCAGCTCTACCTCATTTGCTGTCATTCAAGGATCTGGGAGGGAGCCCAGCGCCTGTCTTCCATAATGCATGGGCAGCTGCGGCCGAGGGGCTGGGGAGGGGTGACGGAGAGGGACAAAGAAAGTGGCTCTCGCTCCTCAGACCTGGAGACCCACGGGCCCCAAGTCCTCGCTTCCCCCAGAAACCCCCTATTACAGGGAGGGACCCCAGTCAGGTGTCACGGGTTTGCGGGGGGAAGGAGGGTCCGCTATATGCCCCATCATCTTTTTTGGGGGGGGGAACTGGGGATGGAATTCCCGTCCTTGCACTTTCAAGGCAGGTGACAGAACCACTGAGCTAAATCCCCGGCCCTGCCCCTCATCATCTTCATCTTCATTGTTTCCTTTGCTCAAAAGCAACTTGAGTTTTTGGTAAAAATAGCGAAACCTTAAGGGACATTTCTAAATTGCTGGTATGAGTCCCTTGCCCACCACCCTTATTGAATTTGAATATAGTTCCTGCCCGGGTGTCATTTTATTTTCCTGTGTACAAGTTACGGTTTGTTAGTGTTGTTTTAGGAAAATGGGATCACTTCACCCATCATGATTTGCAAAATATTTTAAAATTGTGTAATTGGCCTTGGACAGCTCTGCACGCCAGTGCGTGTGGATCTGAGCCCACTTTTATCAGCCAGCAATGTGAGGTCACGAACATCTTGCTGGATTCGGGGTGAGGGCTGGAAGGGCTCTGTGACTCTGCTGAGGGCCAGCTGTGTGTGCCTGGCTGTGCACCTTGCCCTCTCTGAGCCTCGCCTGTACCCTGAGGGGTTCGGCATGGCCAAGGTCGCTGCCAGCTCTGAGACACATGTCGCATTGCTGGTCAGCAGCGATCTCTCCCGGCTGCTCCTGTCGGGTAGGGCCCGGGAGCCAGAGGGACCAGCCGTCTGCAGGGCTAGTCAGCCTGTCGAGCTGACACTGCTGTCCGGCGTGAGTGGCAGGGCTGGTGGGCAATCCAGATGCAGCCACAGCTGGCAGGACGTCTCGGCCCTCGGTGTTCAATGGCTCACCTGCCAAGCATGGAGCAGGGCTCCCTGTCTTCCGAGTCAGATGGCCTGGAAAAGGAGAGGGGGGCTCTTCTACCCCCTTATCCTTCGCCTCCCCTCCCGAGGGCTTGGGCAACTTGGGAGCTCGTCTCTTTGCTCCTGATGTGGGGACACCTGATTTTGCCAAGGGTGACTCTTGGATACCTTTGAATGCTGCTTTGGAAAGACAGGCACATCAGCCTCCTTCCAGGACATCCTTCCCTTTCCCACCCCTGCCCTCATGGTCCTGTCTGTCCGTCTGTCTCTCTGGGAACTGGCTCCTGCCGACCCCATCCGAGTCAGTCCTGCCCTGAAGAGAGGCTCTGCACGGCCCCCTTCCGTCCTTGCCTGCTCCTGGGGGCATCAGGCCTAGAGACCAGCTGGCCCTGAGCAAGGGTCTGGAGATGCTCTTGAGGCTGCTTTAGGGGACAGTTGTCTCTGTGACTCTATTTTATGACAGCGGCTGCTGTTGTGGTGGGGTCAGGTCCTTGGGGGTAGCCATTAGCACAGGGACTTTGGTCTCGAACACTCAGGTCCCGATGCCACCATCCTGTTCCATGCCAGGTGGACTCCAGCAGGTACAATAAGTGAACAAGAATATTCACCCCCTGGGCCTGGGCCTGAGCCTGGGCCTGGGCCTGAGGACAGTTCCCAGTGTTTTATCTTCTCCGTGGAGAAGGTGTGTGTGGGGGCCGGGGGTCCTCAGGGTCGGCCTCCGAGATGCTCGTCCTGAGGAGAGCATGCATGAGTGCTCGGGGGTCCAGGATGAGTTTTGTTGTGGGGCCATTAGTAGGACGACCACAGCAGGGACACCTCTCTCAATGCCTGTCACGCTCCGGGACTCGTGCCTTGGCTTTTGCTCAAGTGCTCACCCAGGAAGTAGGATGTAGTCGTTACTGTTACTGTTTCTGTCCTCATCCTACAGATGACAGCAGTGACAGCCAGGAACGTGCTCACGGGGCACAGCGGACCAGTGGTGTGGCGGCCTCCTGGCTTAGCCCTGTCCTGCCAGTCAGTCACTGTCCCCTCTTCTGCGGAGGGGACGGAATGGAGGACAGGACCCCTCCTCTTTTCCAGAGCCTGGACCCCTGCTGGTGGTTGGCCAACAGGACACGCTCCTTTCTGTGGAGAATCAGCCCAACCTCATTGTCCACACCCCAGCTCCGAGTTGAGTTCCAAACGGGGCAAAGAAGGGCCAGCTGTAGACGACCAGGTGACCAAATGACCGCTGAGGTCATTTCGAGGACCACGCAGGCTCCTGCTCCAGACCAATAGCAGTGGAGTGAGAGGTCTAAGTGGTCAACAGGGGCCTCTGGCTTAGTCCCAGGGCACAGGTAGGGAGAGGGGAGACCCTGACCTGCTCTCTTTCTTCACCGGTCCCCATGTGCACACCTCCTCTCCTGGCCTCTCTGGGCACCAACATTGTACCTCTGGTTTTGGGCTGAGGTGACCATAGAATGAAGCGGGCGGGACCCAGCATAGCAGCTGGGCAGCGAGTGCTGGCGCTTGTCCCTTGGCCTCTTTGGGATTCAGCCTCCTGGTCTGTAAAATAAGGGGTGGGCATTTCAGGCTGTGCAATGGTTGGGGTGGCTCTGGGATCCCATCAAGAGAACAGACTCTGTCCCGGCACTGTCACTCCTACCTGGACGACATGGGGAAGGTCACCGAGGGACACTTCTGTTCATCAGTAAAATGGGAACAGTCCTACTCCTACTTAGGATAGTAGTGAGGATATTTGGGTTCAATATAATGATTGGTTTTGAGTCAGGTTCTTGCTGTATAATTTAGGCTGGCCTTGAATCACAGTGATCCTCCTGCCTCAGCCTCCCAAGTGCTAAGATTACTGGTTTGCACCACCATGCCCAGCAACAATATAATGATTTTTAAAAGCACTCTGTGAATCGTCATTTGCCCAGCCAAATCCGGATCATTGTTTCCCAGACTCTGCGGTCTCTGGAGGAAGGATCATCGCAGCAAGGCCTACATTTCCCAGCCCCCACCTCCTCTTAGCGCAGCGCCTGCCCCATGAGAGAGACCCAGGAGGCATTTGTCACCTACTAGGTGAGCAGAAGAGCGGGGATTGGGAGGGAGGGGACGAGCACGTGGGTGAGGCTTCAGTGAGGTGCGGTGGGCTGCACCTTGGCTTGGGCCTGGACAGACAGGGGAGGTGGGGAATGCAGGAGCCGGGACCTGGAGTCTGGGAAGAGTCTGGAGGAGACACGCGGGCCTGAGCCGCTAAGCAGCCGTGCGGGAGGGAAGTCTCAGGTCTCTGTCTGCATTGGTCTTTCTCACTCTGCTTCAGAGCCTGGAGGGGTCTGTGGCCCAGAGGGGCCTAATTATTCTCTTTGCCATTTCAACCCAGGGCTTTTTGGAGCCATGTTTTCAGGCTTATAATAGACAATGCTAATGTCATTATTAATATTTAATAGTAATGATGCTAATAATGCCCTGCATTTATGTAGTCTCTCCAAAGAGCTCAAAGAACCCGAGTTCTTTTTTTTTTTTTCTTTCTTTCTTTCTTTCTTTATGAAACAATTTGGCTGTTGTAGGCAGTGGGAGGGTGGGCGGATGGGGCAGAGGAGAGGGCTGGAGCACAGGGTGTTCAAACCCCAGCAAAGTGAAATGATCCAGCCAAGGTCACGGGCAGGGGAGGTGGGGCTGAACTCAGGTTTGGCTCCTTGGGTTTCCTGTCTGGAGCTCTGCCTTCCACTCCCCAGGGCATCTGGGTCTGAGGAAGGGGAATCTTTTGGTCCTGGTGAGAGTCATGCCATCCAGGGGGCAGGAAGGAACAGTCTTGGGGAGCAGCTGTAACCCCGGAACTGTGCTGGGCTCCAGCGCAGATGAGCATGGGGAGCCCCTGACTAAGCCTGCCTCGGGCTCCAGAGGGCGGGTGGGGACCCTGGAATCCTTGACTGGATTCTGCAGGCCTCTCTGAGCTCAGGCCAGCGCTTGTTTTCCAGGATCCCTGAACATCTGGTTGACAACCCTGAGGAAGGAGCTCCAGTCACACACATCAGTGCAAGACCCCCCCACTGATGTGCAGCTGCCTGGGGAGCCCCGCTGTGATGGCAAGAGGCAGTGTGTCCCCTAGAAGGGACCAAACAGGGGAGCTGGCTGGCTGTGGGTCAGGGGGATCTTGATTCCTATTTCACTTGCTCTATTCATGTGCGACCTTAGGCTTCTAAGCCTCAGTTTCCTATCTGTAAAATGCAGAGGGGATCCAGAGTAGCAGGGCCTGATGAGATGGATGCAGGTTGAACGCTGGTGGCAGGTGGGCGGGGACAGCGGAGCCTCAGGGCTCTGCATCCAGGGTGGGTGGCAGCCTTACGAGCCTGTTCCTGGGATGCGACCTTTGTGCATCTGCTGGCTGGCCTGCCTTAGTTCCTGCCCATTTCAGAGTCGCCTCTTCGGCCTTCACACTGTTTCTATGGCCCCCCGATGACCTTCCAGTGGATTCCCTTTCTGCTTATCACGGTCAAAGTCTGTTTCTGCTGCCTGCAACTGAGAACCTGGATAGATTCAGCACTTAAAGTTCCTAGCACACTGCCTGGCACACAAAGTGTTCAATAAATGATAGCCAGAAATTGTTAGAAAATAATGTATCCATCCACTTATCTACCCACGCATCTGCCTGAACATTCATCCACTTAACAGGCAAGTGTTAATACCTCTTGTATCAGGTACTGAACCAAGTGCTGGGGGCACCAGGGAGAATAAGATATGGTATGCGGGGCCGGGGATTTAGCTCAGTGGTGCCTCGCCTGCTTCCCAAGTGCAAGATCCTGAGTATGATCCCTGGTACCAGAAAAAAAAGACACACACACACACAAAAGACATGGTATGTGTTCTTGGGATGCTCACGGTCCAATGGTAAGACTGACATGTAAAAATAATCATAATGCAATCTGGTAAATGATATCAGCCAAATTTGCACAGAGTATCATAGAGAAGTCCTTCCCCCGGCTTGGAGAGGCTCAGGAACAGAGAAAGTATTTCCGGGAGTCCTGAGGGAGAGCTCTGAGGTCACCAGACCCCAGAGGTGGGAATGGGCCGGAAGGGGTGAGGCCAGGAGGAAGCAACCGTAGTGCATGGAGTTTTGGGAGGGGTTTGGTGTGGGCCTTGAGGTGAGGGTGCATGGGAGGGAAAGACTGGAGGTGCGGCTGGGCCTCTGTCTGACAACGCGGGGAACACTTGCAGGGATCTGGGGCTGTGTGAGGCAGGCTGAGGAGAGGCTTTGAAAGTTTCCCCAGGGGCCCGGGGAAGGTGAGCGTGCAGGAGACACACAGGCCTACAGGGCCTTGATAGTGTGGGTGAGCTTTATCCAGTCACTTGGGAGGCTTGAAGGGCAAAGTCGGATGTTTCCCTGAACAATAAGAAATTCTGGCCCAAGATCGAAGCATTAGTTTTTTGTTTTTTTTTGTGGTACTGGGCATCGAACTTGGATCCGTGCCCTTACGAGGCAGGCTCCGGAACCACTGAGCTAAGTCCCCAGCCCCGAAGCATTAGTTCTTGCTTGCACATTTCCAGACTGTGGAAAGCAGACTAGCCAGCCCCATGGTTGTATAAGCCAATTCCTTGAAATACATTCAATATGTATGCAGTGCATTCACTGTATATATTTTATACACACATAGGCACACACACACGGTCCTTGACTTATGATTTTATAGTTTACACTGGTAAGGAAGCCATATACGTTCAATAAAAACTCTTCTGAATATTGAATTTTGATCTTTTCCCGGCCTGGCACTACGTGGGACTGCACTCCTTTTCACTGGTGGGCAGTGACCACGATCATGAGAGCAAACAACTGATACTCTACAGCAAGCTGTGTTGCTAAGCGATCATATTCAGTGGGTTGAGTGTATGGAATGTACTCTGGGCTTAATGATATTTTCAGTTCACAGTGGATTTCTTGGGACATAACTCCACGGTAGGTCTGGGAACATCTATATGTCTTACCAGTTCTGTTTTTCTGGAGAGCCAGGCTGAACCATTGCCCTTTGCCTGCTCTATCTGCTGCCCCTCTCGACTTCCCACTGTCTCAGTCAGTTGGGGCTGCTATAACAAAATCCCGAGGTTGGCTGGCTTAAGCTGCAGACATTTACTTCTCATAGTTCTGGATGCAAAGTTCAAGGGGGCAGATCCAGTGTCCAGTGAGAGCTGGCTTCCTGGTTTGCCTTTGGCCATTTTCTCAGGGCAGAGAGCAGAACAAGCCCTCAAGTCTCCTCTTAGAAGGGCACTGATACCATTTCTGGGGGCTCCCTCCTCATGACCGAATCACTTTCCATCACACTGGGAGTTTAGGTTTCAACTTATGAATTGGGGTGGGGAGAGACACAAGCATTCAGACAACAGCATTCTACCTCTGAGTATGGCGTGCTCTAAACTTCGCTATTCTCTGTCTCCTTCCGGTCCATAGCCCCAGCCTGAATCCTGCCCACTATTTAGTCCTGCCGACTTGCCCCACTCTGGCCTGTCCATGTGTGCCCTCCTCCTGCTCTGTCTCAGTCTTAGCTTGGCCCTCACCGGGTTCTACCTCCATCCCCTGCCCTCCTGTGCCAGTTCCGCCATAGTCAGAGTGAGCTCCAACTTCCCCAGCCTCTTCTGGCTCTGGGTTAGGCTCCGGGCTCGTTCTCTACCACGTGGGGCTCATGGAGGCGCTGTATCCGGTCTCCTCTGTAGTCCACTCTACTTTCTCCTACTCAGTCCAACCCACGTCGATCCACTTGCCCCTTCTTGTTTGTTTTTGGTACCAGGGATTGAACTCGGTTCCTTGTGATTTCAAGGCAGGCCATCGAACCGCTGAGCTAAATCCCCGGTCCCTGGCTCTTCTTGTTAGGAGTAGTGATGTTCTCCTTCATCTGCACCTGGCTCAGTCCCCCTCTCCCTCAAGAGTTAGGCCAGCAGTCACCACCTTGAGCTCTGTGCTAGACTCTCTCTGTAGGCCTTTGGTGTCCACTGCAGTGGCCTACGCATCACAGGAGGCCGGCTTTCTAATTAACCTATGTGGTGAAGGTGTCTTCACCACCGCAGCTCGTACCTTTGCTCCCAGCTTGGTGTCTGGTGCCAAGTGTCTACATTTGTCCTGTGTTCCTTTCTCGAGGTTCAGGATGAGGCTGGATGGGACACACTGGGCACATTTGGCTACTTCTGACTCTGCCCTGGGTGTCCTGCTTGTGTTGTGCAAATGCCTTCAAGCAGGTGCAGCACCGATGGAAGCACAGGGCAGGTCTGACATCCTACTCGTCACCTCAGCCCAGTGCCTGCGGGCTGCTTGGGTGAAGCTGGCCACTGCGGTCCCGGATGTGCTGGTTCCCCGGCTATTGGAGGCTGCAAGGTGAGTGCAGATCTCCCTGGGAGGAAAGAGGGGTCCAGGGTAGGCTCCATGGATGCTCAGCCTGCACTCAGAGGGCCTGTGCATTGATTCTCTTCTGCTTCTGTCTAGGAATTAAGTGTAACTTTTAAACAGAAGCCCAGAGTTCTATTTTACACTGTGTGCTACTAATTCCATTGTCGATCTGGTTACCTTATTAAAAAGTTTCCAGAGAAAATGGGTTAAAGGGAATTGGGGGTGACCCCACTCCCACCCCTAGAGGAGAGGGGCTCCATTCACAACTTCAGCCTCTGCCTCTGCTTTGTGAATCTCACGGAAGCAGGTGGAAAAGGACCCAGTGTTTTGATCCCTCTGAGATCCTTAAAGCCAGGGGTATGGTCTGTGGGGGTAAGAAAGCAGTTTATGCTTTTAAATGGTTTAAAAACTCAGAAGAATGTTTTATGACACACGAAAATAATCTGAAATTCAAATTTCAGCGCTCATAAATGAAGATCAGCTGGAGCACAGCTGTGCTTGTTCCTTATGTTTTGTCTGTGGCTGCTTTGGTGCCACATCGGTACCTGAGTCTGCAGCCACAAAGGGGAAAGCATCGACTACCTAGTCCTTTGCAGAAAGTGCTTGCCAAGCCTGGTTTAAACCACGCCCCTGTCACCTGAAGCCTAGGATCAGTAATGGAGGGGATGTCATTGACATCAGGTGTTGGGCTTTTTTTTTTTTTTTTTTTTTTTTGCTTCAGCTCAGTGATTCTCAACTAGGGCGCATTCGGGGAAGCCTGAAGAGACCCGTGGTAATCGTGATGGGGCTGTGTATGGGGTGGGGAGGAGGGTGTGCGCTGGCCTCTCGTGTCTAATGCTCACGACTGTCCCCCACCTCCCCAAATGTCCATAGCTGGGCTCGAGGAACCCTGTGTCGGAGCAGGGGCAGCAGACTCTGGACAGTCTTCCGGACTGGGCAGCAGTCAGAACTTCCACTGGCCTGGAAGACAGTGTGCATGGAGGGAGGGGGTGGCGGGAAGGGCCAGGATGAGTTCCCACGGCCCCTTTACTTACTCGGGCCGTGGGCAGACCTGAAATGGGAGAACATCCGCTTTCCCTGCAACCCCAAAGGACCAGAATGGGTGTCCACCGGGTGAACTGGTAAACGTGACCCTGGAGGGAGAGGTGGTTATCAAGGTCACCAGCCACGGTCCAGGGAGGGGCGCCAGCGGCCCGGAGATGCTCCCAGGAGGCCAGGTGAGCAGGGTGCTTGGGCTCAGGCGGAAGGAGCGTGAAGCCGGGAGCCCTGACAGGAGCCTGGCACCGCTCGCACCAGCCTTCTGGAGAGTGTGAGGAACAGATGCTGAGGCTGTCAGACGAGAGGCTCCCGGCACTTTGCGAAATTGCAGAATTAACAAAAGGACGGTTGTTTTCAGGGAACACGAGCAGGGGTGCAGCGTGCACAGCTGCCTTGCTCCTGGGATTCGCTTTCCGGAAGGCCGAGGAGCAGCGTCCTCCTGCCTGGGCTCGGGCTGGGTGGATCAAGGGCAGAGGTGACTGAGTCATCAGCCGGGAGGCAGCATGGGGTCAGGTTGGAGCCAGAGCCGGGGCCAAGACCGACCCTAGCAGGCTCTCTGGAGGTCAGGCCGTCCACCCTGCTGCCTCTGGGTCCAGCCTGGCAGATGGCATCCTGCCGGCCACCGACCCAAGCAGAGGGGCCCTCAGCGGGAATGAGAATTCACCAGCTGTTATTTGAAAAGACCCCAGAAGCGGCAGCCAGCTCTCTGTGGAAGCTTCCCGGACAAAGAGGAGTATATCTGAGGGTCTGAGGGAGTCTGTGCCTTCTGGGGTGGGGAGCGGGCAGTGGGAGAGGCCTTGTCCTGGGTGCTTACCTGGCCAGCAGGGCAGGCAGGAAGTCAGGATTAGTGCAGCGTAGCACAGGCACTAGAGAAGTTTGGGGGTCAAGTATGTTAGCTGGGTGCTGCTTAGAGCAGGGGATTGGACCCCGTGTTCCTAAAATCGAAAAGGGTTAAAAAAAGAGAAAGGCGATAAGAATTTTCTCAAGTGTGGGTGGTTTTAATTGCACGGTGAAGTTAATTTAGATCTAAAGAAAGTACTTTCTGGTGCTGAGGCGTGAGATGACCGGTAAATGACCCAGGAGTGGTGGGATCTCTCCCAGGTGTGGGGACCTGGGCTGGTGGCGGAGGGATGGCTGAAGGACCCCGGTGCGTGGTCTAGCACGGCTGTCCTCACTTGTCAGACCTTCTGCTTCCTCCTCCCAGGAGTTGCGGTGGCTGAAGGATGGGAGGATGGGGGTGCTTGGCCCAGGAACCCCCCAACTTGAGTGCTACCCCATCCATCCGGGAAGAGAACTGGCCGTGGGCTACGCCCATGACCAAAGACTGAGCAGGGCCTGAGGGCAGGGAGCAGCAGGCAGATGTGGGGGTCGTGCTCCTCATTTGCCCGAGTGCTGTCCCTCTCCCGGCCACATCTCTCCTGGGCCCAGCGGACAGATGCGCCCGCGGAGGAGGGCAGGGGGCTCCTTCCCATTGGCCAGTGTCTGGCTGCTCCCCGGCTTCCTGCCGGGCTTCCCCAGCAGCTCCATTGTTGGCTGGAGGCCTCCGGGGACAGACTTCAGATGGAAGGAAGCACGTGTGTGCTTGGTTCTGTGGGAGGGAGGCTCTGAACCAAGAGCCCATTTGGCTAATGAAGTCATAATTACTCCCACGCTCACTAATAGGATGAAAGCCAGGGGCTCAGTTAAAAGCCACTGATGGACCCTCGAGAGCCTGTCTGACAGTCTGAGGAGGGCTGGAGAGTTGGAAATGGACATGGTTGGATGTCGGGATGGGGCAGGGGGGGTAGGGTGCTCGGCCCTGGTTTGGGTTCCGCCTGCATCTCCCTCAGTTTAGCACGGGATGAAATTCCTAATAACAAACTCCTTCCTTTCCCAGACTGCCCCCAACCTAGCACAGCTCACAGCTATCTGGATGGAAGCTGGAGGGGTAGAGGGTGTCCTGAGCAGCCAGAAATCCCTAGCGATTTCTGTTTGGTTTTGGGATGAGATGTTTCACATTCGTGTCAGTCCCCCACACAGCCCAAAAGCTCCTCACCCTTTTGCGGCGTACTTTGGGCCTAGTTCAACCTTCGCATCTGCTTTCCCCAAGGACACATCAGCACCGTGAAGCGGGGCAGCGCACCCGCTGTGTGACGGGGTCTGGACTTGGCACTGATGTGGCGTGTCCATAATACAAGGGAGTGAGCCGGCCACGGCGGCACACACCTGTACTCCAGCACTCTGGGAGGCCGAGGCAGAAGGGTGGAAATCTTAAGCCCAGCTTGGGCAACTTAGCAACTTAGTGAGGCCCTGTATCCAATAAAAAAAGATTCTAAAAGGGCTGGAGATAAAGCTCAGTGAAAACGCCCAGGGTTCAGTCCTCAGCAACACAAAAACAGAACAAAGAACAAGGAAGTAGCCAGGGCTCCATCTAGCCCCGTAGCTCTGCGATGGACGGTGATGGTCCCTAGCAGGTCCAGCCTGCCCACGCCCTCTCTCCCCCTGCCCAGCCTCCCGATGCACTGACTCAGAGAAAGGCCTTTCCGCTTTTCTTTGCAGGGAGGCTGTGCTGTGACTTGGTAGGGAGTGGCTTGGCTGAGAGTAGCTCTGCTGGCCCTCAGAGCTGGTTGCTTTGCTGACGGTTGCGGCCAGCCCCTTTCCTGGGAGCCCTGAATCTTAGGCCCAAAGACTGGAAGTTGGGCTCCTAAGTCTCAGAACAAAATGACCCAGGAAGTGACTCCATTGAATCCCATCTGGACCAGTGTTGTGAGACTCGTGGGAAGGACTGGCTGAGTCCTGTCCCATGGTCATTCTCTCTTGGGACAAATCTAGGCCTTCTGGGCATCTGGCTTTATCCCCCACCCCACGTCGGGGAGACGACAGACCTTTCTGATAAATGAGTGTGGCAGGTTTCTAGCTTGAAAGACAGACAAGAGCACTTAGGGGAATTAGGGAAAGTTTATTAATGGGGCTGTAGATGAACCTCATGCTCTCAACACTTATCACTGGCCCTTCCTGCCCAGCCCCAGCCAGGAACCTGCTCAGCTTGCTTTTAGGAAGACAGATCCGGCCTGCCCCATCCCCACCTCTTGCCCCACACCAAGAGGGCTGAACCCCAAGCTGGTGCAGTCAATACAGCCAGGCAGACGGCTCCACACACGGATCTGGCCATGCTTCAGGGACACTGTCCCCCTGCAGGAGTCAGCACATACTTACGGGCCATTCACTGCATGCAAGAGGCAGGCAGGCGCCACAGTGGGCAGGAGGCTCGAGTCCCGGCCCTGCCATGCAGACTTGGAGGAGTCAGATCCCCCATAGGACCAGGGAGCTTAGACTGGAGGCTGAGGAGCAGGAGGAGCAAGACAGGGGGAGAGAAAGGCTTGGGAGAGGCCGGTCAGTGGGAGACATCGTGACCCACGGGACTTGAGCCTGGTGGGAGGGTGGCGGGGCTTGAGAGGCAGACTAGAGGCTGGGAAGAACATTTTGGTGGGCAGAAGAGGGGAAAGGGTAAGGTTATTTGTTTCTTTTTATTAAATCAATGATTACAGAAACACTTCATAGATTTTTTTAGGCTCTGATATGAACCAATTAGGTCCTTGCCATGACCTATGAAGGGGCTACAATTGTAATCCCAGCTTTGCGGATAAGGAAACTCAGGCTGGAGGCTGTGTAACTTGCCGGAGGTCACACAGCTAGTGTCTGACCTGACCACAGAATGC